TTGTCATAAATAAGATGCACAAACTGCCAATTATCCATTTTTAGTTGGCTCTATGATGAACTTTTTTGCATACTAATGCAAATATTTGCTGGCATGTTTTCACAAGCAGCAGTACAACAGGTAGAGATATAAACTACTTGGGTATTAGAGTGGACATTTGATACAAAGCCTACGCATATGCAAACATTTTGAGGCTTTGTGAATATATCTCATATCTTATAAACTGAGATATGACTAAATGTATTTTAGAGATAAGCCTAAGTATAGCAGACAATGCAGTCGCTCGAACAAGGTTTCCATTGTGTGATTCTGTTCAACCATGGGTATGTTTTATAAATACATTTCATATTATTCTTGTTAAACACTTGTAGAAGTCACTCAGCGATGTAGCGTCACATGACAACATTACGTGATATTAGTCATATGACATATTGTTGGTAAACACATGGGACACGAGCAGCGGTCTCCCAGTAAAAGTCCTGTTCTTGTTTGGTGCTGCCCCCCCCCCCCCCTGACTCGTCCCCTGTTGAACACCATTGTTATATTTACAGCATGATGACAGGCAGAACAAGTGCTGATAAAGTAATGTTCCCATGTGTTAATGTCGCAGTATTGAGTCAGCATGGAAAAGTGTGCGTTGTGTGTGTGTGGGTGGAGGAGGTGGTGTGTGTGACGGGGGTTCTGCTGTCTAGGCTGTGATGAGTCAGATCTTCTAGTGTCAGACAGTGTTGGATTCTTTTTTCCTTTAAAGTCTGTGACAAGTGAGAATGCTACTGACTCTGCCAGGTAGCCCTTGACATCAATCTTTGATGCACATACTGTAAGGCTGGTATTCATATTTGTCAGGCAAATTCTGCTGTTTTCACTCCTCCAGCCCATCCTGTTGTTTTTCTGTTTTCACATCTGTCTTTTGGCTCTGCATATCAGCCCATTACCAAGCAACCTCTGAGGGATAGCTTTATAATCATACATTATGGATGAATGGTGTGCAGGCTGCAAAAACCGTGTGTCGAACAGTAATGTGCTGCTCTCGATCCGCTTTAATCTCCTCTCCCCCTCAGTGGGTCTTTCTACAGGGTGTATGCATGATCTTTCAGGGTTCAGATGGTTTGAACATGCAGGCTTCCTTACCCAGCAGTGAGGGGGTGCAGAGGAAGCAGTTCAACCAGTTCACGGCACACTGTGTTTTTTCCGCCCACCTCACACACATGGCCACAGCTCCCATCAGTCTCTAATTAATAGCTGTCACAGCAGCCACAATCGATATCACCTCATTAGCCATGTTTGTGTAACTCTGGCTTCACAAAGGGTCAATACATAATCCCTGAGATACAAATGCATCGGGCAGAATTGAAATGAAAGCCACAAATGATCGATTAGAGAAAAGCCAACCATACATTGTTTCTCCGCAGAGTGTTATTACCATAATGCTTTTTGCTGCTGATGCATTTCACCGACGGACAGATCAATAGGAGGTATACTGGCAGCACTTGTGCGGTCAGTCACTGCTGTCGGGTCAGATTTGTAAATAAACCAATCAATACTTAAAGCAGAAATAGCATTGAGTTAATCATTGATGATTGGATCATTTCTGCAGGGTGTTTGTAAGATGATTTGTTTGTATATTCTAGCTGCATATGTCAATCTGACCTATTTTCTTACAGCAAAATGAGCAGTCAGAAAGAGACAACATGTTTGATTTCTGTATACGTGTGATCAAATAAGAAATCCCTTTCTTATTATTTAATCCATTCATTTTAGTGACCAACGCAGTTGAGATAAACCATGCACTTATCAATACCTTTATATTAGCAAATGATCAAATCACTTTACGAAATATGAAAGTAGTAGCTGATGCACCCTCAGAAAACATTTTAGGCTCTTCCTAAACTCATTGTTTTGGCCCCAAGTGACAAAAACAACAACAATGAATACTAGTTAGAAGATATTCAGTCTCGAAATGATCGGGATAGTATGGTGGCCGACAGGTGCAAACACGGCCCAAAATATTTCCATTAGGAGAAACACGCTGCAGCTTAAAAAAAAATGCAAATAAAAAAGACGAAATATGCCAAAACACATGCTAATGAAGGAACATCTTCACCAACTTGACGAAACATGCGCAGCGTTGACTAAAAGTGCTGCATTAAAGGCGAGCATGGAGAGAAACTATTACAGAGTGACATATGGCTGTCTGAAAGCTTGATTTATGTATTATCTGATATGTGGTGTCAAAGACATTACATTGATTGAATATCCATTTACAGGCAGACACAAATGTAATGGATTTGCCAATATGGAAGCAAAAAATAAAATAAATGTATTAGGTTGAGTGTATGGGAAAAGAGCAGAGTGACTGTCTAAGCTACTTCCGGTAAACTGTAAAGTTGGGTTAGAAAATCTCTGAGGAAGATGCAGCACCAGAGTGTTACAGGAAGAAAAAGTAGAAGGGGGGGGAATAGAGAGACTCACGGCAATAAAGAATATTGGAAGTGAAAGGGAGCAGAGGGAGTCCATCACTGTCAGGCACTGAGTGCAAGAATCATTCATATCAGGACTGCTAAAAACTCTGTCATCCCACTAATGTTCTCCATTGGAAGGATGCCATTATTGATCAGGCAGAATGTATTTATCAGTGTGGGAATTAGAAAGTAAATCAAAAGACAAGGTAATGAGTCTGGAGTCGCTCTGGATGTTGGTGCTTTGCCAGCCCACAAACAGCATTTACTGTTAATGACCGTCCAGCTATCTAGAAGCTAGTACATTAATGATGTACTCAGTGACACGGCCACGTTTGGAGCTCATTTGTGTTCCACTTACAGTATTCGTCTCTTCCCTTATTTATAGGCCAAATAATTTATAGAAAACATCAAATAAATAATTACAATGTTGACTTTTTACTCATATTGTTATCTCTACATGCATGTTCCCTTTTATTTATAATGATCCAAAGATGTGGGCCAAAGTGCTCCACTTTGTCATTTCAAAAGTGACAAAGGAAAGACTTCATTTTTAGTTTAAAGTACATTTATTGACACATGCGCCATATGATAAAATGTTAAAAGTCTTTGGCGATTAGACCCCGATCCTGAAATCATATATCTTAAGGGGGGTATGCAGCCGCGAGCATATAGGAAACCCCCCCAGGGTCTAGAGACTGGTGGTGATGTTGAAGATCTGGATTTGATGAGGAGATGGGATGAAGAGGAGGTGTGATGAGGTCTTTGGATTAGCTCTCCTGGGACCTGGATGTGATGAAAGGAGGTGATGGGGAGGAGGCCGCAGCATGAACACCTGAAATCACAGCTGACTGCAGGAGAGAAGAGAACCATTTTAAAGTGTGACTGCAGCACGATGATTGGCTGCTGGAGATTGAGGTGAAATGTAATTGGTTAAAGAGAACGACCGTGATGAGCTGATTATATGCAGCTGCGGAGTGAATGAATAGATATACCCAGTCTTCCTGAAAGAACTTGCGCTGAGCTTCATTTACAGAACAGTGCTGCAGATTGAAATACTAGTTGTAGTCCCTTGATGTTAAAAGTAAAAATCACAACAAGTCAAATCAAAAGCTGAGAGTCTCACAGGCTGAGGAAAGAAGCTGTTCAGGTAAAAGAAAAGCTGGTAACTTTGCTTTTCTACAATCTCAAAACAAACTTTTTTCTCATGTTGTAGAGTCTAAGTGACTTTTGGGGACAAACATGTTGATAGCTGACAGCTGCTAAACGGGCTGTAAAGTAAACCTTCGAGCAATTCCACACCGTCAATGTACAATCACTACAAGTGCATGTATTTGCCCCCGAGAAGTGTAAAGAGCTCTCACTCGATACTGGACTAAACATTGTGGTCCCCATTAGTTACTTGGACACAAAAAAACATTTAAAAAGGTGTTTCCAAAACACGTGGATCGGGTTGGAACCAAAGTAAGGCATGTCTCTCTCTCCCCCCTTCCTCAGCTATACTCAAGCAATATTACGCCAACTATTATAAATTAAAACAAACACATGGGAAACTGGGTTCTACGTTGAATATACCAAATTAGCTTGTAATACTCTTTGTGCTTTTGTTGCGTGGTCAGACAAGACTCGAAATGAATGTTAATGGGAGGCGTGTGGCGCAGTGGATAGAGCGTTGGTGTTCGGATCAGGGGAGCACAGGTTCAAACCCCACTGCAGTCAGCATGTCGTTGTGTCCCTGAGCAAGACACTTCACCCCAAATTGCTCCTGTGGGGATATGCCACAGTATTGAGTATGTAAGTCACTTTGGATAAAAGCGCCTAACAAATGACATGTAATGTAATGTAAAAATGTTGCTGCATGGTGTCATGTTTGCCGGATAATAACTTTTGCCATAGCAACTCAATAAGGTGATAATATGTCAATATTAGTGCAGTGATGTTCAAAGTGTGGGAGAAAACACATTTGGCACTTATTTTGTGGACAGTAATATATTGTGCAGCTCCCCAGACTGAATACTGCTTCTAAGAATGTTCAGCTTACAGAATAAGAAGAAATGTCATGGTGAAGGCGAAAGAAGCATGACGCAAACACTATTATAAATCTCCTTGATGATGTATATGTAAAACCAATTTGAACAGGCTGCCTCAGATCACCAGGCCTTTGCACAATCCTAAGAGTCCACTTTCAAACACTTTTTTAAACAGCATAGCTCTTCCACTTTTAAATGCAGATATTGTGCACATATTTTAATTTGTCATGTTATTTTTGTATTACTTTTGTTGTAAAAATGTATATCTTTTGCAATAGTTTTAATGATATTTATATATTTGCTTTTACTTTACATTTGTATTTATCTTACTATATTTAAATATGTACCATTATATACCAAGGCAAATTCATTTCCAAAAACATCAAACTACAGATCATTTATTGAGTAGGAATCTGATTCAGTTATCCATTTAAAACTGATGAACAACCAAACCTTCACATTGGCCCATTAAATCGTGATTTTCGGTGATATCAATCTTTGTGTCCAACAGACCAAGTTCTCCTACCTGCACATGAAGTACCTGTTCTTCTCGTGGCTGGCAGTGTTTGTGGGGAGCTGGATCGTGTATGTGGAGTACTCGTCCTACACAGAGCTGTGTCGAGGGCACGACTGCAAAAACTCAATAGTGAGTATTTTATTTCTCATTTAATATGCATCGACCTCACCTATCCAGGCCTCGTCCTACATATGTCCTATAATCTTCTCTCCTGATGTTATTGTTCTATTTCCAGTTTTCTTTGTGCAGTTTACCATTATTTCCATTGTATTTTCAGTGTGACAAATACAGGAAGGGAGTCATTGACGGCTCGGCCTGCAGCAGTCTGTGTGACAAAGACACGCTCTACCTGGGGAAGTGCTTCACCATGAAGCCCAAAAGCCAGGTCAGTTTTTAATATTTCAATAAATCAAACACTCCTCTACAGACTGCTTGTTGTTCAAGGGGATTGTTTGGATATTTAAAGTGCGGTTGTCCTGTCGGATGAATGTGCATCGGTAGGTTCTCGTTCTTCTCCCATATGAAATGTCTGTATTCTCACTGTAATGCCATATTATGAAATATAAAAACTTGGTAACTTGCCTCACTCCCTCTTCCTGCTGTTGACCCTAGAACCCTGCTGTTGACTGTGTAGTAGCTATGGCTGTGCCCTGCTTCAACAAATTGGTGTTAAGTTTGCTTATAGTGTAAAACGTTTTAAAATGAGTTCAATGTTAATAACGATTAAAATACAGTATGAACAATTAGGGCTGTCACAAAGCCCGACATCACAATCTATAGGAAATACACTGACTAGCACCTCATACAACCTTCAAACAATGAGTATATTCATTTGACCTTACACATTTCTTTAAGGTGTACTCTGGGACCTGGGGAGACCTGGAGGGAGTCATTAAGTGCCAGATGGAGGAGGCTCCTCATTATGATTTGGGAAATGCGATGCAGCACAGGAAGGAGTCTGCGGCCTTCAACCACCCCACCAAGGGGACATCTGTGGAGAGGTTCAGAGAGATGATCCTCAACCACCTAAAGGTCAGGAAGCCTCCATCTAACAAAAATACAATCCAACATGAAGTGTGATTAAAAATGGTTTTAAAACGTTTGTTTCTTGACAGTCTAAAGTGGGGGATCAGGCCAACCTTGCAGACCTGGCAACACAAGTCCTGTCCATAACAGACGCCAACAAAGACGGCCACATCTCGCTGCCTGAGGCCCGCTCCACCTGGGCTCTGCTGCAGCTCAACGAGTTCCTGTTAGCGCTGGTCCTGCAGGACAGAGAGCACACGCCCAAGCTGCTGGGCTTCTGTGGAGACCTGTATGTGATGGAGAAGGTCCCGTACTCGCCCCTGTACGGGATCAGTCTGCCCTGGATCATGGAGGTGTGGATCCCGGCCGGTGTGCGCCGCAGCATAGACCAGTGGTTCACCCCCTCCTGGCCTCACAAGGCAAAGATCTCCATCGGACTGCTGGAGCTGGTGGAGGACGTCTTCCACGGAACTTTCGGCAGCTTCCTCATGTGCGACGTGAGCGCCACCAGGTTCGGATACAATGAGCGTCACGACCTGAAGGTGATGGACGCAAGGTATATTGTTCCTGAAGCCATCTTCCAAGAAAACATTAGACAGCAACGATGCGATGTGGATGAGGATTGTCTCTACGGGGCAGACTGCCTCACTTCTTGTGACCTCACCAAGCACCGCTGCACCCCCGAGGTCACCAGGCCCAATTTAGCCAAAGCCTGCGAGGCCCTGAAGGACTACACTCTGAGGGGGGCCCCGGCTGATGTGAAGGAGGAGCTGGAGAAGCAGCTGTACGCCTGCATCGCTCTGAAGGGTTCCTCAGAACAGATGGAGATTGAGCACTCACTAATTCTGAACAATCTCAAGACTTTGCTTTGGAAGAAAATCTCTCATACGAAAGACTCCTAAGCGCTGAGAGGCACGACAACCATACCTATATGTTTTTAAATATTGTACAATCTTTACATAAGTTTAGGATTCACCTTATATCCCTTTGACATGTGTAACTGATGGTAAACCCTGAAGCTGTCAGGCATGGTGACTTTATTACATTTATTAAAGTAATCTTTGTCAGTACTGGAGCAACATATTTGCACATTTTTGAAACCGGGAAATCAATAAATTGGACAAATGCAACACCTGGATAGTGAGATCTTGCTTAACCTCTTTGCAGTGCAGTCTTTCAGTTTGAGAGCACTTTAAACTGTTATTCCACTTGTCTTTGCACGTGCTTATCCAAGTTCTAAAAGTTATGTCGGTTGAAGAAACTATTTAATTGACAATCATTAAACTATGGATGCCCAAAGGAGACTACATTCAAATCTAAACTCTACAATTTTATTCCAACCCAGATTAAAAAAAAGAGAAAAATTATGAGATTAAATGTTCAAAGTGGTATCCTACTGTACAAAAATGTTTACATGTTATATATAATACACAGTACGTATTAGGGATGCCAGCGATTTTTCGAATATTCGTTACAGTCTCCATAATCGAAAATTATTTTTAAAATTCGATTTTATTTATATATTTTTTTATTATTATTTATGTTTTTCTTTTTTTTCCTGGCTTAGTTTCAACTAAAATATAGACTAATGCTAATAATAGTAATAGTATTAATAATTGTAAATGGCCATTGGTCACACCACCAGTTTGTTTTACTGTAAATTTGGAGGAAGCCAGCAGTAGGGGTGGGCGATACCACAAAATCTGGATTCGATCCGATACCAAGTATTTCAGGGCCAGTATCGCCGATACCGATACCGATACCGATACATTTTTAAATGAAAAGCTTCTTATGTACTTTCATGTAGGGGAGAGCTGCATGACATGATTTTTGAGCTGAATGCATCATAAATAGACTAAATCTGAATTCATTTTCATGATTAAAGACAGGACAGTTTTTATAGACAAATAAACGTTTTACTTTTGCAAATTTAAAGTGCAAACATGAAAAACAACAATACAAAGTGGCCACAGTAGCGAACTGCCTTCTTGCACACATCAAAGTTCACTAAGTTTTCATTGACAGTTGTGAAATAGCTCCACACAACGCTCCTCTTTCTCTCAGCCATCATGCGCGTGTGTCGCACTCGCTGGCTGCTGCTGTCCTGCCCTGCTGGCTGCTGTCAGTCAGCTTGATAATCGGCGTTCAGGCAGGGAGCGCGCTGCGCGTGCGCGAGCCTCTGGAGAGGAGGACAGCAGTGGAGAGAGAAGAAAAGAGCGTATATAGGCCTACTTGTGTTCGTCTGCACATCGTTTTTGATGAAATTGACGAGTAGAGGAGAAGGGGAAAAAAGTATAAAAGTATCGATCCTATTGGCTCTAGTATCGATATTTTGAAACGTAACGTAATATCAGAAGTATCGATATTTTGGGATCGATCCGCCCACCCCTAGCCAGCAGCGCAGGCTGCGCAGAGTGCAGACTGCTGCTGCCTGCTGCAGCCTGCTACACACCGACCCCGCCCCCCCCCCCTTCTCCGTCACAAGTGCGATTGATTTATTGGCGATATACAGAACAGTGAGAACAACACAACTAAAGATGAACAAAGAAGAGTTCCTCGTGTAACTACTTCGAACTGAGTCAAATATATAATATATATATAATATAATACCTTTTAAGACCCTTTCCATACATTTTAAGACCTCATCGCAACTTTGAGTTCTAACCGGTTACATTGGCAACACACTTTACCTCACATTTACTTTACAGGATTGATTGTAAGATAGCACAACTTAACAGTTTGGGATAACTCCTTCTCATAATTCAGATAGAACAAAGCACAAGAGAATGAATTGTGTGACCAACCCAATGCAAGGTTTATTAGAAAAAGAAACCATTAGAAAGTATTTGATTTAGGCATTGTTCCCAAGAGATAAAACAGACAGACTACTGAAGCCTCCTCTCCACATGAACTTCAACCTCTCTGTCAAGGTCAGGTTTAATGCAGTATGCTGCTTTTTTGCTTCTGTAGACACACTTTGTGCTCTTTCATTCCAGTAAAACTCCTCAGAAACCATTAGAAACCAGTATTTGACCAATAAACAAAACAATTGACAAAACTTTGAACTATGAAATATATTAAACTTTGGTGAGCTTCAGCCATATAGGCAGTGGCGACTGGTCATTAGGGGCAGGTGGGGCACAGCCCCACCTAGTGTCAGCAGAAAGTATTACACATAATGATTACAAAAAATGTAAAGAGATGCAAAAAAAGAAATTAAAAAAAATATAAAATATATTTTAAGGTCATGTTTAATCATCTGATTCGTCTGTACATTGCTGTTTTAGTCTGTGTTCTTCTAATTAGTGTCTACAGTGCCGTTTTGAGCCATGTGGGACAAAACCTGATCATGCCCCACCCTCTCACTGTCAAAGTGAACAGTGACTGTAAAAACTACACTGCGCATGCTCAGAGTATTTTTCAATGTAATGTGTGTGGCAAAAAAAAAGACCATAGGGGCACAGAGCTGCCATCCCCACCATACGTCATCTCACATCATTCAGAGCTGATTGGCTGTAAGTACGTGTGCCGCGAAAAGTGTAGTGTGTGAAGAGGAGACGAGAGAGCTGCAGTGACGCGTCCTAAAACCAGGAAGTAAGCTGCAAAAAAGCAATGAGGTTTCTCCATAGGATTTTAGAAAATAGCTCGAAATAAGATCTGTGGCTTAATGAACGTGTGTCTCTTCCTTGGAGGGGCAGCATCGCCCGGACTCCGCTGCTGCTCCGTGGCTCCTCCGTGCAGAGAGTCTGCACTGGAGCGGTGTGTGTCAGCAACGTGCAGTCAGGGGAGGCACGGAGTGACCATCGGGAATATTAAACGCGACTTTCTGGCTAGCACTTAGCATGTGGGACCGGACAGCTTTGATCCCCATCAGTGGCGCCCTAATACACTCTCCTCCTCCCCCCCCCCAGAGCTGAGCAAGGCAACGAAACTTAAAAGAAGCAGCATTTCCCGACATGTCGTCGCAGTAAATTCAAGGGTGTTTCATGTTGTCGTTGCTGTGGACATTCTTAATACCTTGGAAAATGCTGTTTAATACTTTTTAATAGCCTTAATATTCGCTAAATTGATCAGGGATGCAAACTCATCAGGTATGAAAAAGGTGACAAGGATCCGAGCCCCCCGACCCCACGGAATATCGGCTTTAAAATGAGGAATAACAGAGGATTTTAGCAGTCAGAACAACTAAAGCAGTTAATAACAGAAACGCCAAAGAGTCACATCTAATAGAATAACAGAGGATTTTAGCAGTCAGAACTACTAAAGCAGTTAATAATAACAGAAACGCCAAAGAGTCACATCTAATAGAAATGTATAAAAGCATTTATTTGAATTGTGTAGCAGTCAGTTTATAATTTTGGCAGCACTGTTGAGCATTTTGAAAAATGTATTTTCATGCCTCTGTGCAAGGCTTAGTCTTTCTATCTGTATAGCCAGTGGTGTAAAGTAACTAAGTTCATAAACTCAACAAGTACTATACTTGGGTACAATTTTGAGATACTTGTACTTTATTTAAGTATTTCAATGTGTTGCTACTTTGTTCTTCTACTCCACTACAGTTCAGAGGTAAATGGTGTACTTCTACTCCACTACATGTATTTAATAGCTTTAGTTACTTTACAGATGTGGATGAATGATGTGAAATATAATCAAGTGTTAAATCAGACTTTAGTTCCACCTGGAGTAAATTCACAAGCTACCCTGCAGTATACAAAGTCATTCAAACTAGCTGCACCTTTACCAGCTTTGAGAACACTTTAATGATCAATCATTATAAAATATATCATATATATTATTCTGAAATGGACCAATCTGCACAATGACTACTTTTACTGTCGCTACTTTAACTATATTTTGATAATACTTTTCTACTTTTACTTGAGGAACATTTTGAATGCAGGACTTCTACTTCTAAAGTACAAGACCTGAGTACTTCTACTCAAGTACAAGACCTGAGTACTTCTACTTTTACTCAAGTACAAGATCTGAGTAGGCCTACTTCTACTCTAGTACAAGATCTGAGTACTTCTACTTTTACTCTAGTACAAGATCCGAGTGCTTCTACTTTTACTCAAGTACAAGATATATACTTATACCACCTCCGTTTATAGCCTATGAAAAAAACTATTTGAAAACGAAGGCTAAAGCTAACGTTAGCAGATAGTGACAATGTATGCTAGTTAGCTAGCTCAACGATAATATTGCGACAGGAACACTTTTCAGTGCACATCACGCTCTGCCGCTCCGACAGGGAGCTCTGATCTGAACACCTGAACGGCTCGTTCTAACAGCTGTTCACCAGCGGTCCAGTCTGTGCCACAGTGACTCCGGACCGCACAGTTAATATTAACGAACGCACCCGTAGGTAATGTAGCTGCTGAAGCTAGACCCTCATCCCGGAGCAGCAGAGCCTTATTATACATCCATGAGCAGAGCCGACAGGCAGGAAGACTCGAGCACACAGTTCGCGCTTCATTATAATATATAAAAAAAGAACACCATGCGTGATGGCACATAACAGCTCGCGGCCGCAGATTACTCCGGGTCCCAGACCCATACCCAAAAAATATTTTTATTGCAGATCTACATGAATCACACAAATGACCTATTTTGGATTCAAAACGGCGAATTTCGCCGAAAGGTGACAAGTTTGCATCCCTGTTGATTTATCAACTTGTAATACTTTTTAAGACCCCGCGGACACCCTGGTATAAGATTTGAAAAGACTGTCACCCAATGTTCGATTCATGCAAGTAACACTAAAGTTAAAATGACATTTTCACTCTTAACCTGTTGGTTGGAATTGGATGCCAAGTTTAGTTGCATTCATTTATGAATCCTTTATGTGCTTTTATAGCAAGCTAATCAGTCTATAAACCATATTGTTGAGTGGTTAAACAACACTATTGTAAAGATTTCCCTTTAAAGGGCATCAAGAAGCCCCAGACACTGCTGTAGTTTACAGAAAGGACACCAGAGGGTTGGATTCTTTTTCAATAGATTTATTAGAACAAATCTTGATGTGTGGAACGGAGCAGAGTGACTCCTCATTCTGGATCCTCCTGTTCCTGAGCGCGGAGGAAGCTGGCCTTCTTCTGGGCGACACGGTCTTTCCTCTGGGCC